CCTACTCAACACCAATGTGTCCTGTTATGTTTGCAAATTGGTCATAATTTATCCCTTAACTGATGGGAAAAACAAGAATTTTCTCTCCAGTTTTCACCTCAAGGTGAAGCTCATTCTTTGAATAACTGAACATATATTAACATTAAGGTCTTCATACATTGATACCCCTGCACCAACTGTCTGGTAAATAAAGCTAAGATTTTTAACTGTGATTAAGAATTCTGGGCACCAATTGTAAATTAGCCATCAAAAACTATTTAGTGAGTTCCTCAGTCTTTGATGGTTAAAATTATCTTTGGGGAAAATTTTTTAGTCAGTCAACTGAGCTGTGGAACAAAAACCACTAAAATTTTTTATTTGGGAGTAGCTGGTTCTGTGATTCACAAATATAAATCTTCAATTTAAGAGAGCCCACCCAAAACGTTTTAAATGAGTCTAGAAATAGATAATGAAGATTTCACAGACTGTCTTGCTGAATTTCATATACCACATCACTCTGATGGAACGATCATCTTCCTACTGGGTGATCCACATCAACAGGAATATAGCAACCAGTCTCCTATGGGCCTTTAATAGGTTATACTTTCCACTACTCACTGCTCTGATCACTAAAAGTTTACTTTCTACCACCAATGCTTGTAAGGCTATCACTCTTTCATCTCTCCTAAACCTAACATTTCTGAGCTGCCTCTATTGAAACCACTATTGTAAAAGCAGTCTAATCTAAGAGAATTCCAATCAGAGGACCTACAGTAAATATCAAACCCAAGAAGGACTGTGTCACTGAAGGAGAATTACAAGCACAATGGAAACTGGGAAGTAATACTGTGTAAACATCTGTTTTCACGTCTTTTTCATCCACCCATAGGATCTACACTGCCCCAGTGATTTTCACAGTCTTTACTCCTTTAAGCAGCAGTCCTTTCTTTCAGCAAAAAATGTGGAAGTTCAATACATAAAACATACAAAGGCAGAGCTGCTGGTTGATGGCACAATAAGGAGGTCAATGGCTTTGTCTTCCTCCCTCACCCCTTACTTACCCACATGACACTATGGAATCCCAAGGGAAATAAGGAACCCTGTCTGAAAAGTAATGGTTTAGTGAGGATGATAATGATTTAACCTAATATAGTCTTTAAGAGAACAGTAAATACTAATAAGTCATAGTCTTAGCTGCATAGGAGTCTTTTCTGAGTAGAGGGCTTTTGCTAAATGTTTACACATTTCAGTTGTAATCAGCTTCTCAATTTGATAACTTTAATACCTAGCAGCACAAATCTCTTTGGTTTCAGGAAAAGTTACAGTAGTACTACATTATGCATGTCTCTCCAACCACATTCATGACATCTGTGGTTTCCTCAGGTAAGTGTAGATGCTGAGCTAGGGTCTGGCCCATGTGAAATATTTAGGAGAAGAAAAAAGGTTTAGTTAAGTAGTAAATCAACTAAGAGAGCCAAATCACCTGCAAATCAGGATTTGAGAGATTTTATCTAAGTATGAAAATACCGAAGTTATTTGTCACAGACGAGCCACCTCAAAGAAATAAAAATGGGGTTTCCAAGTTTCCCAGTCAAAAGAGAATTTTCCTGTTCTACAGTCATGCACAGCATTTGTAGTGGGAAACTTCAGGTCAGGTTCATTGCATGATGTGACAGGGAATGTGATCAAAACTGGGTTTTCTCATCATATCCTAAACCATCATTAGTTATTTTATAAGATTATGAAAACTAGTGGCAATTACATTATTGTTTTTTAGAGAGGTTTTAACTAAAATGAATCAGGTTTACCAATAGAATGGATTCACTTATGCTATTACCCAAAGAGAGTACTTATAGCCACTGAAAGTATGTTGTAAAAGAACATTTAAGCACATAGGAAAAATGCTGCAATTATACTAGGTAAAAATGGATATAGAACACTATGATTTTAAGTTTGCATTTTTAAAAAGACATACATATTCATAGAAATAAAAACTGGAAGCATCTTTACCAAAATATTATCAATGGCTATATCTGAGTGGTAGTCTTTATTCTGTTGTTTAAACTTTTCAATATTTACCAAATTTTCTTTTTTTCCTTTTTGTTCAGACTTAAACAAATGTCTTTTATCTTTTTCTTCTTTTCTAGCTTTATCTTAGCTTCAGGAGAGTCATTTGCAGGTTTGTTATATGGGTAAGTTGCGTGTTGCTGAGGTTTGGTGTACGAAGGATCCCATCACCAGGGTAGTAAGGACAGTACCCAACAGCCTTCCAGTCCATGCCTCCCCCAACCTCTCTCTCAAGCATTCACCACTGTCCACTGTTCCCATCTTTATGTATTCAATGTTTAGCTCCCACTTATAAGTGAGAACATGTGCTTTTTGGTTTTCTGTTCCTGTGTTAGTTTGTTTCAAATAATGGTCTCCAGGTGCATCCACGTTACTGCAAAGGACATGATTTCATTCTTTTTTATGGCTGTGGAATATTCATCAAACTTTGTATGCAGAATCAGGAAAAGACACTTAAAAGCAGAAAGAAATTTTATTTTCTGAAACAAAATGGTGTACCTAATATTCTGAGATTTTCTGTCCTCAACTGTGTGATTGTGTGGCCCAATTCCAGTCCCAACTTGCTTTGGAAGAAACAGCTGCCCATGCAACCACTAAGGTGAGCAACCATAACTGCTGCTAGCAGCATAGTCAGCACTAGGTATGAAATGACATGCAGCCCAAGCAAACACATCCAGTTCTCAAGAGTGGCTTAGGGCATCATTCACCAGAATTGCCACCATCCTGATAAAACCTCGTTGATGAACAACACCAAGCCCATCTAGAAGCTTTTGCTTCTGTGAGGATGAGGTTAATTTAGCTGTTTAGGACTGCCTTTGTATGAATGCTAAACATAAGAAAATTCTTAGACATGTTTATGATCTACATGTCACCAATGTGTATAATCAGCAAGGCAACGTAATTCTTAGGAACGCTGCCAGTGAAAAATAGATCTAGGTTCAATTCTGGCTCTGCCATGAGCTTGGGTAAGTTTAATAATTTTATAAACCTCAGTGTATTCATCTTTCAGTGAGGTTGGCCACATCTATCTTTCAGGGTTTTTATGATGATTTAAAGTGTTTTTCAGCATGTACATCTACTAATTTAATGAGAATATTCTAGAAGCCTAAATATATAGACATTTCAAATCACTTAGCCCATTATTGAAAAAAAATCAGATACCATATATTGTTAAACTTCCTTAAACTTAAAACCTATATCCTTCTGTATAGGGCAACTTCCCAGCTACACACACTGAAAGTGGTCACTGAGCCAAAACTAAGTACTTGAATAGATGTTCTATATTTTAAAGAATTCAGATTCTAAAACAAGTTTGTGAACTATAGGAGAATATTTCTGGCAAAATCTTATCCTTCTTCTATGACATCTTCAATAACTCTGTACTAGTAGGATCATATTAGAAATATAAAAGTCCACTTCTGTCTCCCATGCTAGACTCATAATCGACTCAGAAAACATAGAATCAGTAAAGACATCAGAGCCTATGTGAGAAAGGGGGAATATTTTAATAATGTCTCATACCATAATATATTCTCAGTGATATTATAAAAATAATAAATGTTGAAAATATTTAACTTTAATGATTCAAATTAAGTGTTATAATTATTAACCCAATAAAATGCCATGAAATGGGGAAAAAGTAGCAAAAGCTGAAAAAAGTAGAGAAGATGAAAATTACACAAGAATTTTTTTTTTTTTTTTAGATGAAGTTTCGCTCTTGTTGCCCAAGCTAGAGTGCAGTGGGGATATCTCAGCTCACTACAACCTCTGCCTTTCAGTTCAAGTGATTCTCCTGCCTCAACCCTCTGAGTAGCTGGCACTATAGGCACATGCCACCACACCCAGCTAATTTTTGTATTTTTAGTAGAGACGGGGTCCCACCATGTTGGCCAAGCTGGTCTCAAAGCCCTGACCTCAGGGGATCTCCCCTCCTTGGCCTCCCAAAGTGCTGGGATTACAGGGATGAGACACCACACTCAGCCAAATAAGGATATTTTTACAACTCTGCTTCAAAATGGGAATACAGCTGGGCATACTATTTCTACAGTATACAAGTTAAGACAAACAGACCCAATGATGAATCCCATTCCTGCCACTTACTCTCTGGGAAATAGCAGGCCAGCTGTTTAACTACTGGGAACCTTATTTCCTCATCTGCAAAATGGGACTTGCTTAATGCTTTAATGATGGGTGACAAACACACGTAAAACACTCAGTACAAGGTACATTTATAGTGTTCTTCATTAGCAGATGGAAAAAAACTACAAAAATCCTAAAGGATCAAGGTAACATATGACAATGACATAGGCTATGCCTTACGTAGAGAGCCAGTGCATCCAAAGCCAGACATCCACCAAAGGTCACAGGATATGAAATAATGGGTGTCCCTGACCTTGATGATACGTTGTTGAGGAGATAAAAATTAAAGGCTAAAATCAAGAAAATGAGGTAAACATTTAACAGGGGTCTTGGAGAAAAGGAGGTCAAAGTAAATGACTAAGAGGAAACCAGTCAATCTGATACAACCACATCCAATCAGATATGGCCTTGATGATGTGCAGGAAAAAGTAAAGCCAGTAAGAATCAGCTGGTTTATGGGGCACATTTGCTGAGCTTTGATATTGACTGCTCTACTCCCAGGAAAAAAGAAAACGAGGTCTTCAACTAGAAATTTGCTATCACTTTCATGTGACAAGAGTTTAATGTCATTGAGTCGCTGGGAAGGACATTAGAGGGGCTGAATCAGAGTTCATCAAAGAGTGATGAACAGTGATAACCCACCACACAGTCAAGGTTACAGAATGACAGACACCAGAAATTTCAGGCCTGAAAATTCTGCCCTATTATCAGTGGGATTCAAGAGAAGAGCTCATTCCCTGAGAATGACTCCGCTTGACTGAGTAGAGCAGAGTGGGCCACATCAGGTTCAATCCAAGTTCTCTGTTAATACATACCTCCAACAGCTACTGTTTTGCATGTATTGATAGGTTTCTTTAAAAGTATTCTTGAGTATACTTGCTGAGGCAGGGTCTTGTCTTCTATTTCATGTTTCCCAACCAGACACTTTTGGGCATCCCAAAGAACTCAATGGTGTGCCTGGAACAGAGAAGCAGTTTCAGCTTAACTACTTCAAAATGGAATCACAAAATTCTAAAGCTGAGAGAGATCATATAAATTCAGTGCAGCTCACCATAAATAAAAGGATTAAAGTACTTATAAACTTGGAAACAAAGAATTCATAATGAACATTTCCTACCTCCTCCCACTTTTTTCTTTCTTTCTAGCTTTTTAATTTTTGTATTTTTATAGTACTATAATATATACATATAGCATCAAGCTTACTCCATCATAAAAGTTAAGTCTTTAGCCCTATAACTATAAAAAGGTGTTTCTCCTTTTATATATTTATCTACTATTTCAGTTGCCAATAAATAATTGATTATCACAAGTTAACTATAAGTTTGAAGCTGAAGCTTCAAACTGAAAACAAATGTAACTACTGAGTTATCATCTTTACAAGTTGACTTATAAAAATGTCATCATCTCTCTGGGCCCAAAATACGACTCTCATAAGTAACAGCTTTTATATTTATATATGTGTAAATGGTACACATTTCCTGGTAGCATAATCAGGAAGCTAGAGATAGTGTTTTGTATTAGATAAAGAACTAAGAGGGTAATTCATTTAGTGCCTCATTCGTAGGAATTTGTACTTACATGTGAAAGAATACGAAATCTAATGTAGCTAGAAAGGTAGTATGTTTTAGTTTTATCATATTTAATTTAATCTGTAACATTTTATTTTTTCCTGTGATAATCTATAAGAAGCAGACTCTCAACCCTTTTTTTAGGATAATGTAAGCTTTACAGTATTGAGTATTTGATGAAAACTAAGCCTGTTCCATTCCTCCCCACTTAAATTTCAGAATAATCATTAACTCCTTAAAGCTATCCCTGGACCCCAGGTTAAAAATTAAAAGGAAGAAATAAATAAATAAGGAATAAATACAATAAAAAGGAAGCAAAGAAATAGAAACAATTATTTCTAGAGGTTAGATGTCACAACAGGAAATAGGAGACACCATTTTTTAAAGTCCTTTTAAATATTATTTTAAAGGGCAAGACAGATGTTGGGGTTATAGATGGCCAATGGAATAGGCCTGTTTATCTCTGCTTCCCTCCCATCAAAATGCTAGTAAAGAGGAAAACATTTATAAATCCATAAAGACAAAGGGAATAGAAAACTATTATTAGAGCAAACAATAGGCATCACTGATGTCTGGAAAGCAAAGATGACTGTAGAGTCAAGCAGAACCAGTGGGAACCTCCCTGCCCGTGAAGCAAAGAGCCGGCTGACTGTGACAGAAATGCTTAGGAAATGATGGAGCTTCCAGTTCCTCAGAAGGGGAGTGGAAAGGGCTGAAAAGAAGGGGGTGGTGAAGTGTGTATCAAAAAAAAAAGATCCTTGCCCTGCACCATAAAGTTAACTCAAAATGGACTAAACACCTAAAAGTAAGACCTGAAACTATACAATTCCTAGAAAGAAAAAAAAAAAAAAAAANAAAAAACATAGAGGAAAAGCTTCATGACACTGGAGTTGGCAATGACTTTTTGGATATGACACCAAAAGCACAGGTGAAAAACACAAAATAAGCAAATGGGTCTACATCAAACTTAAAAACTAAAGGAAGCAATCAACAGAGTGAAAGGGCAACCCACAGAAATTATCTGTAAACCATATATCTAACAAGGTGTTAATATCCAGAATACCTAAAGAATACCCACAATTCAACAACAAAAAGCCAAATAATAACTAAAAATTGGCAAAGGACTTGAATGGACATTTCTCCAAAGAAGATATACAAATGATAACAAGCACATGAAAAGATATTCAACATCCCTAATCATCAGGAAAACGCAAATCAAAACCACAATAAGATATCATCTCACACCCATTAGAATGGTCACTATTAAAAAAAAAAAAGAAAATAGCAAGTGTTGGCAAAGATGTGGAGAAACTGATTGGAATATTTGTACACTGTTGGTGGAAATGTCCAATGGTACAGCCACTATGGAATATAGTCTGGTAGTTCCTCAAAACATTAAAAATAGAACTACTGTATGATACAGCAAGCTAACTTCTGGTATGCATCTGACAGAATTGAAAGCAGGATCTTAAAGAGATATTTGCACACCCTGTTCACTTCAGCATTACTCACAATAGCCAAGTAGATGCAACCTATATATCCAATGGCAAGTGAATAAAGAAAACATGGTATATACATACAACGGAATATTATTCAACCTTAAAAAGAAGGAAATCCTCTTCTATGGTGCAACATGGATGAGCCCTGATGAGATTATACAAAGTAAAACAAGCCAGTCACAAAAAGACAAATATTACATGATTCCACTTATATGAGGTATCTAAAGTAGCCAAAGTTACAGAAACAGAAGGTGATTCATAGCTGCCAGAGGCTAGACAGGCAGGATAAAGGGGTGTTGATGTTCAATGGGCATAGAGTTTCAGTTTTGCAACATAAAAATGTTCTAGAGAGTTTTTGTACAACAATGTGCACATAGTTAACACTACTCTATACTTAAAAATGGTTATATTTTATGTTATGTGTTTTTTATCACAATAAAAAAAATCAGAGACTATCCTGGATTATTGAATGGGTCTAATGTAATCACAAGGGTCTTTAAAAGTGGAAGTGGTAGACTGAAGAGGAAGTCAGAGTAATACAATGTGAGGCTTGACCCACCATTGCTGATGTTAAAGATGGAAAGTGACCAGAAGCCAAAGAATGCAGCCAGCAGCTAGAACCAAAAAAAAAAAAAAAAGCGGATGTGGGGGAAAGGGACTCTCCCCTAGAGAAAAGTGGATATGGTAGACAGAAGAGGAAGTCAGAGTAAAGCAATGTGAGACTATTCGACCCATCGTTGCTGACTTTAAAGATGGAAAGGGACCAGGAGCCAAGGAATACAGCCAGCAGCTAGAAGTTTAAAAAAAAAAAAAAAAAAAAAAAAGAGTGTAGCCTATGTACACCTGTTTTGTTTCATTTTTGTTTTGTTTTGATATAGGTTCTCATGGGTCTCACTTTGTCTCCCAGGCTAGAGTGCGGTGGCACAATCCCTGCTCACTGCGACCTCCACCTCCAGGGCTCAAGTGATTCACATGCCTCAGCCTCCTGAGTAGCTGGGACTACAGATGTCTAATACCACACCTGGCTAATTTTTGTATTTTTTTGTAGAGACAGAGTTTCACCATGTTGGCCAGGCTGGTCTCAAACTCCTGACCTTAAGTGATCCACCCACCTTGGGCTCCCAAAGTACTGGGTTTACAGGCATGAGCCACTGCTCCCAGCCTATTGATCTCAGCCCAGTGAAATATGCATGAGACTTTTGACCTACAGAACTGTAAAATGATAAATTTGTGTGGAAGAAAGAAGGGGAGGAGGAAGAAAAGAAGGGAGGGAGGGAGGGAGTTAGAACCCCAGATCCTCTCCCTCACCTGGTAGAGCCAACTAAACCATCCCTACTCTTATAAGAAGAAGAGAAAATGATATGGCAAGACTTCAAACTCAGACTCCAGGTAAGGCTGAAACGAAGGCACTGGATCTAAGCATTCACAGGCTTGGATGGTGAGACCTCTGGCTCCCTTCCTCCTCACTCATCTGAGGTGCCCCTAAATCCTCACAGGTAGGCTTATACCCCACAAAAAAAAAAAAAAAAAAAAAAAAAAAAAAAAAAAAAAAAAAAAAAAAAAAAAAAAAAAAAGAACAAACAATTCCTTTTTGGAGAAACTGAAAGTCCAAGGAAAAAAATCTGCAGATTTTGATATGTGATAATTACCCACTGAAATGACCAGGCCTCTGCCCAAAGACCTTATAGTGAAGCCAACCAGGTAACAAATTTTCAGTCCGTTTTTTATTGTCTCACTCTTAACAGACAGCTAAATCCCTAGCAATCATTTGGGAAGTGACTTTAACATTAAAATCAGGGATCATAACAAGAAGATAAAGGGAACGCAAAGGAAAATGAGCAAAGAACAGGATAAAACAGTAAAATAATTCAATTCATATTCTCAAAAAAATGAGAAAATATTGCATCTACGAAATAAAAACAGGATCCTAATTTTAAAAACAAAATATCCATAGATCCCCAAAATTAAATTTAAAATTACAAACCTACTAGTAGAAATTAAAAATTCAATTGATACTAAGAAAACCTCTCAGAAAGTACAAGAAAAACACGAAGAGATGGAAAATAGGTAAGAGTAAGACTTAAGAAAATTAGAGGATCAAATTAGTAGGTGCAAATACCCAACTAACAGACCAGGAGAAAAGAAAGAATGGGGAGGAAAATCAAAGAAATAGTACAAGAAAATTTACAAATTGATGGGCATTAGTTTCCAAGCTGAGAGGACCATGAACATCAAAACAGCAAAAAAATCCCAATATAAAATTTCAGAATTCTGGGGATAAAGAAAAGCATTAAATATTTTCTAGAGACAAAAAACAGTTCACAAACAACGAGCTGGGAGGCAGAATGGCTTGAGACATCACAACTTATATCATAGAGCTCAGCCACAAAAAATTATAGTCATAATAAAGTAAACATTAATATTTATCTAAATACAGATAGTAATAATGACTGCATCAAGAAAATAGAGAGACAGGAAAAGCAGGTATGTAGTAAGGGTAAAGGGTGGTCTATGAGACAGAACTCCGCAGCAGGAAATCAATATATAAGTCTAACATTTTAAAAGGAATAAATGGCACTTAGAGCATACAATGCATTGTTTAGAAATAGGTAGACGAATACCAGAAAATACAACTAAAAGGACTGAATAGGGCTATCTTTAGGCAAAGGGGCAATAAGAGTATAAAAAGAACAAAGAAGAGCTATTATAGTACTATTTGAATTCTTAAACAATGTACATGCAATTACTTCTAAACAAATAAAATTTAAAAATGAAAGGAAAGAAAGAAGGAAGGAAAGGAGGGAGGGAAGGAGAAAGACCTAAGAAAGTTCTACAAATCGTTACACAGCAGAGATCTTAAATGTTCATCTACACAGAAAGAATGAAAACAGCAACTGTCCTAACATTATGCAAATGATAATTTGTGGCTTGGAATAAAAATGCCAAATATAATGCCATACATAGACTCCAAAAGTGCTATACTGCAAACACCTAAAATAACATGCTGTGAAAATTAATACTGAATGCTTCAAAAATGTGACTCAAATAATGAAGACACTGATGTCAGATATGTATGTAAAGAGTTGGAAGAAAATTATTCTGAGGTAGAAAAAAGCATTAGTTATAATATTCCATTTTGTATAAATATATAATTATTCAAATTATGTGTGTAACTAAATTAATTAAATGGTACTATGTATTTGGCTATTTTATCCATATCCCCAAAACATTCTTCATATATTCCAATTGCCCACAAAAATTGTTTGTTTAGATCCTCTCATTTGGAGAACACAGAAAATATAAACTAAGCATAAAAGGTAAATAATTAAAAATCCATTTACCTGAATCATGCTGTTATTTTTCTTCATCAGTCTTCCTTCCAACCTAGAGGAAAGTAATATGAAATTAAAGAACATTCTTTGTGCAATGAGCTGCTTATAAAAAAAACAAAAAACAAAAAAAACACTAAAATCCAAGTTAACTATTATTTACTTCTTATGTATCCATAGAAAAAAGCATTCTTTCCCCAATTCCCAACTAATTTCTAGCTGTCATGGTATTCAGAGTAAGCTTCTATTAGACAAAGCCAAGCAAAAGCAAGCAAGAAAATCCAGTGCCAATAAAAAAAAAAAAAAAAAAAAAAAAAAAAAAGTGCAAAAAAAAAAAAAAAAAAAAACACACAAAAAAAATAAATTGCACACCAAATGCATCTGATGGTATAACATGAGTTTTAAAACCATATACTTTTATAAATATCTCCTCTCCATTTAGGTAAATAAATGCTAACTGACTAAAAAAAGATAAAGAAAAAAATAAAGAAGCAAGAAAGCACATTATTCAAACCAAAATAATTACCACTCTGGGGTAAATTTCATTTTTACCAAAATGCAATCAATAGCAAGTTAAGTGGAACAACCACAGACCACATACATAAGTGTATGATCAAACAGTTTATAAATAACTCTAACCCACATCACCCTAAAGGCTTAAAAATGCTTCCTCATTTTATTTCATGAAGGACTTTCTCAACTAAAAATGAAATCTGACCCTTTGTAAGTAAAATATACATGTGAATTAGGGTACCTGCAGAAAGGAGAAAAGATAACTTTTTAAAAAATTAGTAAGCCCAGAAATCTTGGGTGGCTTAATAAATTTTCTTAAAGTGAATACCACTCTCCCAAGAGGTCAACACTGCCCTGCCTTCAAATAGCACACATTAGTTTTGCCTGTTGGGTTAGGTGTAATTATTTAGGAATTTGTCTGGGAGTCTAAGGATCCCTGTATCTAGACAAAAATAAAATGTTTTAAGGAAAGGGGAGCAAGTAATGGCTGATTGCAAAGTGGTATTATTTCAGAAAGATGTTAACATGTCTGAGGAAAAGGTTTTGGCTGGTTGGCTGATTGTTTGAGGTCAACCTTCAAGTTCTCCAGATACCATAGGATGGAGAAGCAGTTTATGACAGAAATAGAAGGGTAAGGGGCCTTCCTGTTGTCCAGATGAATGGACTGCTGGAAATAAGATGGGAGAAGGCAGGAGCAGAGGTGAAAGAAGGGAGTGGAAGGAAAGGTGGCCTCCTTTCTATAGGTACAGAAACACCTATAAAGATAGTAACCAAGCTAGACTGTGCTAGAAGCCAGACAAAATTTCTAATGCATGATCTGGCTTAATCTTCCAATTCCTATGAAGACTGTTTTGCTATCCCCAGTTGACTGATACCAATACTGAGTCTCAAATCAGCAATATGGTGTCTGATGTAAATAGTTAGTAGGTGAAATAAAGCTATTCCTCTTTACAGCTTGAATGCAGAGCTAGATTCACCATCAACAAAATGATATTCACAAAAATGAAGCCTTATAATTAGATACAGAATATGCTGTTTTGCCCCTGCCCATAAATCATTTAAAGGAAAGCAATCAAGTTATTCAGGACCCAAGAAGTCTTCTGAATTACCAGAAAGTGGAATAGTTTTGTCACTTGTAATGTAGGCCCACGTATCTTTTTGTACCTCAAAGAAGTTTCAAAGTAAACTCTTACATTTCATAAGGTATAATTTTCTGACATGTTAACTGGTTTTATGGCACTGTGTGCTTTCCCATTGTAACTGGAGAAATCAGAACACAGTGTCCCTCAGAGATAGCCACAGATGCAAAGAGGAAAACTATCACCAGATAATTATTGAAGAACCCATGACAGTGTCACCTTCAAATGGCATGCCATACCTGCATGAATATTTAATTTCTATCACAAGTACTTTCAAAATGCAGGGGCCAAAATGGGAACATGGTTGAAAAAGGGAAGTTTCCATTCTGCCATTTGACAGGAAGAAAATAAAATATTTACTTTCTTTTTGTTTTTCTGAGATGGAGTCTTGCATTGTCGCCCAGTCTGTAGTGCAGTGGCGTGATCTCAGCTCACTGTAATCTCTGCCTCCTGCATTCAAGCAATTCTCCTGCCTCAGCCTCCCAAGTAGCTGGGACTATAGTTGTGCGCCACCATGCTCAGCTAATTTTTTTTTTTTTTTTTTGGTTTCACCATGTTGGCCAGGATGGTCTCCATCTCCTGATCTCGTGATTCGCCTGCCTCAGCCTCCCAAAGTGCTGGGATTACAGGCGTGAGCCACTGCGCCCAGCCAAAATATCTACTTTCTAAGGAAATATGTAATATATTAAAGACATGTAGCTAAAAAGATCTTCCTACATCCTCACTGGTAAACAAAAAGTAACATTGCAGTGACAATAAATGATTGTCAGACATCATGGTATGCCTTTACACTTAAGTCCACAAGAACCCTATGTGTGTGTGTTAGGTGAGAGGTGGAGGGTGAAGGGCTTAGAACCCCCAACTTAACCAGATGAAGACATTAGGCTCAGAGGTTATGTTGTAACTTGTCCAGGTTGCAAACTTGTCCAAGGTCAAACTTCGAGGAAATGGTAAAGAGTTCCAAATTACATGTCAGATACTTTTAGGCTATTGTGTTGACCATAATGGTTCTGCCTTAATGATGAATACACTTGAATCTGTTTTTCAGTAAAAATCTTCTAGTGATGCATTGGCCATTTTCCAGTTTCAAATTGCTTTTTCTATCTTCCCAAATAAAGGATCTTGATACTCCTTCCACCTGTAAGATGGAGTAAGTATTCTGTCGGTGAGTGGCTTGAGAAGGTCTAGACGGACTCATTTTAGGAGAGCTGCTAAAGCCTCGGAGAGCATCCTAGTGATCTTCATTTTATGGGATCTAGAACATGGGTAATGCATAGTAAAAGCTGCAGGTTTGATTTTTCAGTGGACACATGCCACGAAGATACAATGCAAAAAGTTATTTCTAGAACTATATGAATAAGCAAGTTAACGCATACCATGCAGAGTAAATCATCGAAGAAAAAAAATTACCCAAATTATACTTAAAAGGCTGTGGTGGCTCTAAACTTTCAGTTTAGGATTGAGCAAAGTATGGCACGAGTGTTTGTAGACATTAACCTAATGACATTCAGAATACTGGTGGTCGAGGGGAGTGTGGTACAGAATAAGGTACGCTTCCCCTACCAGAATTATTCAATAATTCTAGTATAGCAAAACTCAAACTCCTATATGTTTACTACTGGTGGCTTCCTCTCAAGAAAAACACACTGAAGTAGGAGAAGGTTCAAAGGGTAAAAAAGAATAGGCTTAAGAACCAAGGTTGTGGAAAGTAAAGATTAAAGTTCACAAAATTCTGCAAGGCATTAGTAAGCCCCCACTTTACAAGATTACATTTGTAGGGCCAACCCTTTCAAAACTTATTACTTCCTCTCAGTTCAAGGAGGGCAGTGGTTTCATCCTGGGGCCAATCTTATTGATCAATAGGCAGTGGCTCCCCAGAAGCAACACTGGAAGACAGTACCCAAATTAACTGCCATTGTTCACTATGGACACACAATATGAAAATTGCAGCAGGCATGCTTCATTTTTGGCGGCCCTGACCCACACCCTATTATTACAGTTCAGTTGTTGATTCTCAGGGGAAAGATGGTGTGTAGTAAGAATAATATAGAGAGATCAAGAAGAGCACTTCATTAAAACTGCATTTTATTAGAATAGTAAAAAACACTGAAAACTTTCTCAATCTTACTCATAAACAGCATGTTTTGCAAATTAGAGCTTGCCTTAAGAGAATACAAAATCCAAAGTAGAAAGTTAGTTCTTCCTTCCTTTATACAAAGTTAGTGTTTTCCTCTTTTAATATCAAACTCTCAATAAACAGAGTTTAACTGAACCTTTGCTTCCTTTCTTCTGCTTAGAGGAGAACCTTTACTATCTCTCACACAGGATCCTGCAGCTGCTGAAAAGCCCCAGGCATGGTCTTTAGCTTTGGTGACTGGAGGTTGCAAGTCTCTTGCTGGAGTAACCCTCAAGGCTTCTTCCTGCCAGCAGATGGTATCACTGGTGTCAGCTCTCTTCACAAGCGAGGACTTTCCACTACACTTAAGGAAAGAGTTAATCTTCCCTTCTCTACACTATATTCTTATCTTTACTAGATTAAAAGAGTAACACAAAGGGTATAAAGCCCTTCCTCAAACTTTGTCTCAATTTAAAGCCAAACTTGATTCTCTTAAGTTACAGAGCTCCTCTTTCCGAACTGCTGGCTAAGGTGTAAAAGAAAACATAAAAAATAAAAAACACCATCCATTAACTACCCTGGAAGTTCAGCAACTTCCAAACTGGCCTCTCAGACCAGTTTCCCTTTTCCTGTAAAACGAATGTGAATAGAGTTTAAAAGAACAGGTTGACCTAGGAGGAAAGAACAGACTTATACATTACAATCTACTAGAAATGTGGGAGCTGAATGAGCGATTTAATGAGTGGTAATAATTCCAAAGAAATACACCACAGGCCCTTAAGGAGGTAGTTACTAAAAAAGATGATAAAGAGTGAAAGCAACTATGCTCCAGGTAATGGTGAGATAAGTTCATGGGAACAAAGCAAAACTGGTTAAAGTATGGAAACTAATCCAGTTTTAAGCATGACCTCAAGGCAAACAACAGCTCCTCCCTGCTTCCCAGAGTGACCAAGTGCCTTCACTTAATGCTGCCAAAAAGAGGTACTTTGTCCCTTCATTTGATAAACATTTATTGAGCATGAAGGTGGGATTCTATAGAGATGAAAGGGCAGGTTTCCTGATGGAACTCTGTTTAGCAAAGAGAAAAAAAAAACAACTAAACCAGTATTTACATTTTTATGTGGTACCACGGAGTCACAACACAGAGCTAAAGCACAACATCAACCAACACAACCACTTCCCTGATAGGGGCCAGACACAATCCTGATACTTTTAGGTGACTCATTTGAATCTTTGAAACAAGCCTATGAGACTGGCAAACACTCTTCCTGGTTTACTGGTGGAATT